GGATGTTCACCGGTGTCAGTGGGGGATCTGCTTCTGTGAACGTCCATCACTCGCTCCTTGGTTTTCCCTGCATTAATCAGAGGGTGGTTCTGCTGACCACCAAGTTCTGGGTCCACTGTCTGCACTCTGAGTCGTCCCCACCTGTGATGAGGCCAACTATGGCAGAATCGTCAGAGAACTTCTGGAGGTGGAGATCAATATTACCAGCATTTTTCAGTAATGTGTGGAAAATCCATTGAGAATGCTTGTTTCAATGATTGGAGAGACAATAGATGCTGATGGAACAAGAGCTCTGTGGTAAAGTTATGTCTTTGGCCACTGAGATTATAAAGACTCCCATTTTTCCAGAGGAACCAGGATTATGCATGCACCGCTACTTTACAGACCTCAGAAACTTCAATAATAACCAATGCAGTTAAATGTTAAATCCAAATATAGCCAGAGTGAGACACTTTGACAAAAACTGGATCACAAGGGTATACAAATCACTTTTCCCTCAACTCACTTAATGTTCTTTTTTTTTTATATGAAAGAAATTTACAAAAGACTTAAAAGATGTCTTTGTTTAACCGAATTTAATGCTTAAATTTACCAGTGTGTGAAGGAACCTATGAAAAAAACTTTTTCTAAATGACAAGATCAAAGGGTTTGCAAAGGAAATGAGTAGGGTAAACATTCCCACCCAGACTTTTTATTTCTGGTATCTCCGTTCTGGTTTAGTTTTCACCAGGTATTCCTATTTTTCCAATTAAAAGCCATTTATTTAACTGGATATTCAAAATGTAACCCTGTAATAGAAAAGTTTAATCCAGAAAAGGAGCTCAGAAAACTGGTCTCCATCACACAGGATAGCACAGAGTGGGTAAGTCTGAGTATTTCAGAAAAAGCATTTAAATAAAGACCATCCCATGAAAACACATTTAAAGTTAATAGTTAGAGCACGATAAATATTGGGTACCCCGCCTATGACTACATTTTAAAGGAGAAGAATGGAAGAAACCTGGAAACAAATTCACTCAATTACACCACTTTAAAGTTCAACTTTTATTTCACCAGTAATTCCACTGAAATATGTCTCATTTAAATGTATTTATCATGCCTATAAGAATTAGAAACTGTTTTTTAATTAATGCTTTTTGCATCTTAATAGGGAGAAAAAAATTGTTTACAGTTAATTAAGACAAGACCAAATGCAGGACTGGGTGACGACTATTCCATGTTTGGCTTATAATGATAAAAAAAACATTAGGGAAAAATAAATTCATTCTGCTCTATTAACATATCACTAAAAAAATCCATCATGTTTTACATATAGCTGCTTCTGTTAATATAATTATACCTTATGTGTATATGCTGTCAAACTTATTGCTTTAGATAAAATTTAGCACATTATAGAAGTCAGAGCAGAAATCAAATATTTAGTGGATTCCCTGCATGAAGGGGGGGTTAAATAATAATATAATTGCACTTTATTGATCTCACACTGGAGAAATTCAGTCTGCATTTAACCCATCCCCTTGGGCAGCAGTGGGCTGCCATTGTGCAGCACCTGGTGAGCAGTGTGGGGGTAGAGTCTTGCTCAGAGACCCACAGTGCAGGCTGTGGGGATCAAACCAGGTACTTGCAACCTTCTCAGAGCACAAGCACACTCCTCTCACCACCTGGTATTATGAAGCAAAGCTGCGGTGACATGCTTGGACCCCAGGTCTACCTTAAACCTTTTTTTCCCTCATAGCAAAATAAAGTCAATATTTTTTTTCCCAAACAGATGAAAGACAATCCTTGTGGTGTTCTTTCGTCTTTTTATTAATTTTCTTCAAATCCAAGTCAACAGCATACAACTTTCAGGGTCCTCGGTCAGCTCAGTGGAAAGTGAGGACGGGCTGTAGCTCCAAGAGCTTGCTTGCTCAGCAAACGGCCCTCAGATTAATACAAAAGGAAAACATTAGAGCCGCCCCTCAGCGTGACATCAGAGCAATCACACCGGATGAAATCAACAAAACGGCAGGAGGAGCAAAAAGAGTCAAACTAAGAAAACTACAAACAGGTTCAATGCAAACGTTTTTTTTTTCCAGTTTGGATCACCACTGAAGTGGAGCACACATTCCTAAAAGAAAACAAAAAATAAAATCAAACCAATGTGAAAAGTGTTGATAAAGGGACTGAGTGAAATTCTGGATGCTTCTGCTAGCTGAACACTGGTATAATCTGATTATCCATCTATTCATATTTTACAGAGGCACTTTTATTCTTTCCACAGAGTATCCTCTAAATGGCTTTATTAAAGAACAGATGGATGTGAAAATGTTTACGTTTGACAGAACTGCTCTGAGCACCTGTGGCCAACTTTTTATTCATATTGGTCCCAATGTCACGAGTCCTGCAGGGAAAAAACTAAACACAGAAAACCTATTTACTCGCCTAAATGCCCAAACTGCTGATCTTAAACAGCCAGCCATGACATAGAATCTCCTAGTGATGGCTTTTAATTGGATGGTTAAGGTGTCTGGGCTGGAGGGACATGCAGGATGAACAAATCCACCATTTAAACCTGTTAAGACTTTAAAGGAAAACGTTTGAAAGACGCATCCTTTAAGAGCTTTGACTTCTAATTGGGGTTTTGGTGCCATTTAAGGTTTTATTTCATGTTCAGAAGTCTGTTCTTCATGCTGTAGCACTGAAGCGAGTCGTCTGAACCTGTAGGTGGAAGAAGTTTAGGTAGTTTTTTTATTTCTGAACCATCTCAATTTCTTTTGGAAAAACTTGAAATAATGTTTTGGGTCTTAAATAGAGGCAGAAAACTCTTTGAAGCCTCTATGAGGCTCTTGGAGGTCAATCAGAAAAGAAACTAGGCTCAGATTCTGGCCCATTTACACCAGCAGGAGCATAAAAACAAGAGAAGAGGAGGTCCTGATAGGGAGGCGAGCACCAGTTGTTTCTAGAGCACCTCGCAGCAAAAGGAGAGGAAATTAACTAGCGATTAAATAAGCTACATATTCTGCTGCTCAAGTTCAAACCAGTAGAGTTAAAACTAACCGGACCTTCTTTCTGCTATCAATAGAAGCCACTTCTCAAAACTGGTGACTGAATTTACCACTAAAAATATAAACTGTGGAGCATGAAGCTGGATTTTCTCTGCAGCTCTGAGGCTTCTGAGGTCCGAGTTTAAGGGGAGCGATTGTACTGTGAGGAATTTTCCAGAGCTGTGAGCGAGTGCGATCTGAAGAATCAAAATTAAGTTACACGCTACAATCTGGTAATAATAATAATAAAAAAAACTCAATTAAATAACAGCATCAAAGGAATTTATACGCATCAAGATTCTTTAAGAGTCCCTGTGAGAAGGAAATGAGCGCAAATGTGAAGAAAGATGTGAAAGTTGGGTCTTTGCTGTCCTTCTAAATCACAGCAGGCTTTATTCGACTTATTATGGAAAATATCTGAACAGTTGATGCTCCAAACAGAGGAGAGCTGCGGAAAGGAGGGAGAATATTACAAACCATATTAAATCGTGTCAAAGTCAACTTTCTTTTTTAAAGATTGGGTAAACAAGCGCATCCTTCTGAGCCTGCAGCAGCCAGTCGGAGCTGGACAAAAAAAAAAATTATGATGAGGTGGTTGTTGGAATCTTTCGGCTGGATCGTGTGAAGGGAGGACTTTCAGCGTGGAAGTTCTGTGGAGGGTTTTTAACTGCGGGGCAGGCTGCAGATATCACAGTGCTCTGTGCCGGGCTGGTTCATGAAGGTGCAGTGGGGGCAGGACCACATGGCGGCGGAGGAGGCTGGAGCCGCAGGACCGCCCATCGCCTCGTAAGCCAGAGAGCTGGATGGCTGCCCGCCCACCGTACCTGGAGGAGGGGGGAGGAGCAGGTTAGAGGATGGAGCCCTCATCTAGAGCATTTATAAATTAAACAAAGCAAACTTAGTTTTAACCAGGGGAAATAAAAAAAAAGAAAATTATAAACAATCCAAAGACGTTTCGCTTCCCATCCAAGAAGCTTTTTCAATTCAAAATGTCAGGAATAGCGTTGAGTTCGCGGTTTTATACAGTGGCCCTAAAAAAAGTCTTTTTGTTTTGAAAACAATGTCTTGATTTTCAAAGAAAAGAAATTAAAGCAATTTAAAAGAATTTTCAGAATAATATTAATGTTCGATAGGAAGTTCAGTTGAATCCAATAATAAATGCTGTGAATTACAACGAATGGAGACATAAAAGCATGAATTAAACACCTGAAAAATGTTTGTGAGAAGAATAAGTGGGAAACTATATATATTTTTTTTAATTCTTCATTAACAGATTCCTTTAATTCTGAGGAGACTCACTGCAGAGCTGCTCGATGGTGGCCCACTGCTCGGACTTCTTCCAGGTCTGCGCCAGCTCCTCATTGGACGTCTTCACTGCGTCCAGGAGAAGGCCGATGCTGTCCTGCAAACAAAAACACCAACCAACGTTCAGCGGTTCTGAATGCTGATAGACAAACAGCTTGAGATTAAATTTCCATATAAAACATTTTGCTGCAAAAGAAGGGAGGAAGTAAACGCCTCTCCTGAGGGCAAGAGTGGCTGTAGGCGAGCCCAGTCCCAAGATTGTATGACAGGAGGGTGAGACGATGACAGTTTCTACATGAGGAAGGCATTTTTATTCTTTAGTTAAACATCCCGCTGGTCTCAAAGTATCCTCCCTGCTCTCCACCAGCTGCCCTGACTGTAACCCGGAGAACGGAGCTGGGACGTCTATTAGACCTCATATGGCTAAAAATCGGGGAGAAAATCCAAGCAAAGTTTGTTCCGTTAGAAAACCTATGGATTCTGTTGCTGTTTCCGTAATGGCATTGTGAACTTTGACCTTAAAGACAGTATTAGTTGACGCTAGCTGCTCATCCTCATGATGTTTTCTCTGTCAGCATCACATCTACTCAAAGGTAAAGTCACCTCTAGATGTGGAAATTATTCACAGCAAAGCTTTGTAATCTCTAACTGTCCTCTGCTGGAGCTAAAGCCCCGTTTGTTGAAACTTTAAAAAGCTCAATGTGCACCATCAGCTGACGTTTCTGCTTCTGCTTGCTCAACACAAAACATTCAGGAAGGGAGCATCTCCATTATCTCTGCATGTTTTATTACATATTCTGCTTCCTTTGGTCAAAGTGTTTTCAGTTTTAAATTCCACCCTCCTGTTATGAAAGGGCCAGACAAACAGAGCAGAGGCCCCTTTTATTCAAAGTAAATCAGCCACTCATTTAGCTTCAGCTTCTGGTGCAGAAATATTAGGAGTCTGATGAAGCATGTGTAACAGACTCATCTTCATTTGTCTTATTCTGCTGCTGAGATGCTTCCTCCATGATCAGTCTCTAAAAAGTCAGATCTCCCTATTAAACTTCCTACATCCTGCTTTTGTGCATTTTTACTAAACCAATAAGATATTTTCAACAATGAAATACTCCTATTTATTCATTATTACTTTTATCTGATCCCCTTTAAACTGTGGGCTTTGTAGATTTACCATCATAACATTTTTTACTTCCAAAATTGACTCTCTGCATTTAACCCATCCCCTTGGGGAGCAGTGGACTGCTATCATGGGGCGCCCACTTGGTCTTTGCTAAGGGACCCAGAGTGGCAGTCTGTGGGAGTGTAGCTTCAAGTCCGAACCTCAGGATTCCAAGCTCTATGCCCTAACCACTAGACCACCAATAATTAAAGCTACAGTGAGTCATTTTCAGCAACATCTACCTGGCAGCTCTGTGCTGCCATAGTGCAAAGATGTCTACCTCCATAAATATGTAACATTTCTATCAGTAAATCAGTAAATAAATTATCATATCACACTGTAAATTTAACGGCTCACCTCTACAATTTGGGCATTAAAGGTGTGGATATTAGACTTTCTGCTCTCCTCTTTCTATGCAGACAGGAGCAATCCCTTCATGACTACTGGCTCCTGTTTCTGACACTGAATCTTACTCGAAATATACACTTCAGGACAAATCTCCCTTTACAAAGTAACACAGAAACGTCTAGCACCTCAGGGCACTTTTCATGTAGAGCAGGTCTACACCACTCAGCATTATATCAGTTTAACTAATATTCACTCAGTCCATAGAAACTATCTGCCCACTGCAAACTCCCCAAGCTCTGTAATGTTGCATAATTATTTCGATTGAATTAAAATGTTATACAGTTTACTGCATCACAGCTTATTCTCTTTTTAACTTAAGCATTCTCCATGACACCCTCCCCACTCCCTTTATTTCTGGTCTTTCAAACACCTCTAATCATAGCTAGGGATGGGGATCGTTAATATTTATTGATATCGATACCTTGATCGATACTCCTTATCGATCCGAGTCTTTATCGATACCACTATCAATACCTTTCAGTTATTTGGTGGAAAGACGATGCAACAAAATTTTTTTAACAGAACTGGTATTGCTTCTATTGCTTAACAAGTGAGCATAACAAAAACGTTTCTAGC